TATATATATCATAGATCGACAAGTAATCAAAAACAAGGATACATGCAAACATTGAGTAATGTTTCTATTAGAACAAAAACAAAGTTACACATTGTTATTTCTCGCTAAAAAATGAAACTGTCACACATTGTTACTCCTCGCAAAGGAATTAAAGTTACACATTGTTACTTCTTGCTTGGGAAGGAAACAATTGCACATTGCTATTTCTTGGAAAGATATGAATCAGTTACGCATTGTTAATTATTAGTAAGGAAAGAAATAGTTACACATTGTTACACATTGTTACTTCTTGGTAAGAAATGAAACAGTTACCCATTGTTACACATTGTTACTTCTCGATGAGGAAAAAAAACAGTTACACATTGGTACTATTCGCTAAGTTATGAAACAGTTACGACGCTTGTAATGGCCAGTTAACCTTGCACATGGCAGAACATGTAACACCTGGGAGTTAAAAATAAACATAAAATGATATCTATTTCCCTCCCCCATTCACAGGCACACACGCACACAAGCAAACAAACACACACTTGTGCGAGCACACACATATACACCATATGCATACACACATCTTTTACTCTTGCACACACAATAAACTCATACACAAACACACAGAAGTAAATATACAAATACAAACACACACAGATCCTTACACAAAAAACACACACATATACAAACACACACATATACAGACATACAAGCACACACACATCCTTACACAAAAGCACTCATGCACACACACAAACACATACACACCCTTACATACACATACAAACACACAAACACACACGCACACATACATACATACAAACACACACACACAAACAAACAGAAATACACACACACACACACACACACACACACACACACACACACTCACAATCTGGGTAATTTCTGACTTGTCACGCTTATCAGCTCCAACAGTTTCGCTTAAAAAAACACAACGGCGCAAATATTGGAAGACGAAGGGGTGGAACCGTATTATATAATTACTTCACTCTATGTCTTTGTTTGGTAAAGTGTGTACAGTATCGGTCAGCGTTCAGTTCAGCACAATGAAGCATCTTATATTTCTTTTTAAAATGTAGATGTTTCAAAGCCCCCATTGACACAATTCAGGAAACATTTGGTCGCTTTTAAGCACAAGGGGCCATCCCGAAAAATGCTGTTTTGAGAAAATCGAAGATAAAGTTTTTGTCCCTTGTTCAGTTTCTTTAAAAGACAAAGAAAGTTGTCTCTATAACCTAACAAATACACACACTAATGTAACCAAACTTCTCCTATAGGTAGGGCAGTGCCCAGTTTTGGTGTAGGTCAAGATTTCTGGAAACCCCCGAAATCAGGGTTAGCCTGCTTGTCCTTAAAAGCGACCATTTGGGAGTCAGGTTTCCGACCCTGCCTGTCAGGGATAGCATGGGCTAAGAGGGATACGACATCCCAGCAGAAAAACCGAAATACTCGAAACAAATTTCTCCCCACTCGGGAATCGTACTCAAGTCTCCTGCGTTCGACGATAAAGCCTGTACCCGCTACACCACATACATCGGCACCTTATAGTTCAAAACCTGTGGCACTACTAGTATTAAAAAAACAACAAAACTTTTGCAGCAGAAACAGCAATATTAACAGCAGCAACAGCAACTGCAACAGCAATATTAACGGAAACAATAAGAGAGGCAGAAGCAGAAGCAGCTGTAGCAGCAGCAAATACAGTACTTAGTAGTAACATAGCAGCAGAAACAGCAATACTAACAGCAGCAACAGCAGCAACAACAGCAGAACGGGAGGCAGTAACAGCTGCTGCTGCAGTAGCAACAAAGGTAGTAGAGCAGCAACATATCAGCATGTTTGATATTCAGGAATACAAAGAATCAAGAAAAACAGGCAGCGGTTTGCCATCAAATTAATAACAGAGGCAATAAATGGCACATCGACAACAGAGTGAGAAAAAGGTTTGGAAAAAAAAATCCCAGGAAAAAAGTCGAATACATTTTTATGACATTTGGGGATACAAATTAAAGTCAAGTTAATAAAGAAATATTAAATATTAAAGACATTTTAACACCATAATATATTATACTATATCAGAACACAGAGGAGAGTAACAATAGCGAAACGGGTCGCCACATCGCAGCGCCTTATCGTATGTGGTCAAGGTTAAGTTGTCTTGCTCAAAGAAACAGGGGTTCTCGAATTCACCCCCCCCCCTCACGGTCAAATATAGGTCACCAGTTGGGGAAGTTGATAATGAACTCGCCCCCAGTCGATATCGATATGGCTAAATTAGGCACTTGCAGGAACATCGAATACTCGTTACTACCACAGATTTAGTTTGCGGCCTGCGGTCAACGGACTGCGGGCAGAGAGAGAGAGAGAGAGAGAGAGAGAGAGAGAGAGAGAGAGAGAGAGAGAAAGAGAGAGAGAGAGATGTTGTTTCATACCACTAAGAAGAGACAAGGACAGTTTGAATCTGCCAGATATTGTTGATCGTAAGATCAAGTCATAAAGAAATTGTAAGGCAAGACTGTGTGTCGTCACAATACGTTCACTTCTTAAGTTGGACCAAAAAATTTACTCTCATAGCAAAATGTCTTAATTTGTCTGATAATTCTGTAATTAATATGATGTCGACCAGTGACAACGTGTTAGACTAACTACCACGACACTATAACCATCGTTCTGAAATCAAACGACTGGACAGCAAACTACATGAGTTCGAATCTCTAACAGAGATCTAAAAGAAATCAAGTTGTTTCTAGGAGGTAAAATAACGGTTGCATTAAAATGCTCTCACTTATTCGTAACATATTTTAATAATTGATATCCAACATAAAGTGATAATTATATATAGATCTACCCTGTTTGAAGTCCTATTCCTACCTACCCATGGTGAGCAGGGATAACAATAACATTATTCCTCACATGAAAACACACACACGCAATACTCAGAGAAGTGAATTATCATTTACCAGTTTTGATACCCTACTTCTGCCACTTTTAAAACTATTTGATTTCCATATAGGGGGGCGAGTTAAAGATCAAACTTTTCGCAGGTAGGGTTGTGACGTCATGGGGGGCGAAATGCAATGCGCCCAAAGAGACAGACCAAAGTTCACCGTCCTAAATTCATGTCAAGTCACAACAACAACAACAACAACGACAACAACGACAGCAGCAGCAACAACAACAACAACAACAACAGCAACAACAACAGCTACAGCAACAGCAAATAAACAAAGTATCAAAAGATCCACCGGTACATTCTCATACAAGGCCTTAGTCTGCAAACAGTTCCTTTCAACTTGTTCATCACGTTTTATATCAATTTAATACTATAACATGATGCTGTGCGAATTTTACAGAAAGGTGCTGGTCAAAGGCACAAAAAAGTAAATGTTGCAGTTTCCGAGGACACTCAAGCTTTGAAAGTCGCAAAACTTTGGCGCCCGTTTTCTCACTTATTTTACTCTTGACACCAGGCGACCCCCACCTCCTTCAATAGCAAATATCTTGACTTCTATTCAAGACAGATGGGTATTATTTAATCAATAGCAACATGCACATGAACGAGCTTTAAGATCATAGCACCAATAACTGTATATATATACCCCCCCCCC